GGAGGAGGAGGAGGGAGTTCTCCAGTCATGAGCAGAAGAGGCAGTTCTTTCTCTTTTACAACTTATTTTTTTGTATAATAACCCTCTGGACTGAGCATCTCCACCTTATAGCTCTTGTGTTTTCTGTTATTACTGTACTTGGAAGAACTGTCTATCATAAAAGATTGTTGTATAAAATGTGGAAAATATGGGAAAGTAGGAAGTTGAAAATAAACACTCCTATCCCAACATCCAGAGGGTAATGATTACCATCAGTAAAATGGTTTGGTGGATTTTCTTATAATCTGTTTTTTTTTTCATTGTATGTGCATCTTCGCGTGACTGCATATTATACATATTTACACACATCCATATATGTGTGGAGTTACATCTACAGAAAGTAACATTATTAAATTTTATGGCATAGCCTACAAGAAACACATATATGGCTATTCTCTATTTAACTYCTTTCTCATTAATGACTCTTTGGTGATCACTTACTAATGACCATTACTTTAGGTAATCAATGACTCTTAGATTATTAAGACCATTAACAAAAATACAAAAATCCCTATCTTTTCATAGTCCTACAGTTTGAATCATTGGACCAAAGTTTACAAATATATTAAAATCATATGACAGCTGATACTAAATGACTTTCTAGAAAGAGTATAGCTGTTTAAATGCTTATCATCGATGGCATCTTGAGTCCAGCTTTCCCAAGATGCTCCAGCTATAAAGGGGAGAAGAGCACACAAACACAGTCGCTCTTTCTCACACACGCTCATTGCAGCCTGTTAAGCCCAACTCTGACGGCTGCCTGCGTGAAGAGATGCTACCAACTCCCAAGGTATAAATAGGGGCTACCGGAATTCCTTTGGATCCTTGGTCCTGATGGCTAAAAAGTCCAACTGTCAAAGCTCTTAGTTCTGAGACTGTTGGCTACCGTTGCAACAGAGGAAACAAATTAGAACCAGATAGATGGAAGGAAAAAAACATGGATTAAAAAACCAAAGGACCCATCCTCTTATTTTAGTCTTTTTTTTTTTTTTTGGTCTCACTGTGACCAAAGTGTATGACAAGAACAACTTAGAGAGGCTGGAGTTGTGGCTTGGCTGTAGAGTGCTCACCTAGCATGTGCAGGACCTTGGGTTGGATCCTCAGCACCACATTAAAATAAATAAAGGTATTGTGTTCAACTACACCTAAAAATAAATGTTAAAAAAAAAAGAACAACTTAGAGAAGGAAAAGTTTATTTGGGGCTCACATTTTCAGAGGTCATAGATAACTGGCTCCCTTGCTGTAGGTCCAAGGTGTAGCAGTCCACTATGGGGGAAGGGCCTAGAGGAGAAAAGGTATCAATAGATGGGGGTCAGGAAGCAGAGACAGGAAGAACAACACTTCCAGGGCCAACCCCCAGCAACCCATCTCCTCCAAACATATCCCACCTTTCTACAATGACTGCCTAGTCGGTTCACTCAAACTAGGATGGACTCATTAGGTTACAGCTCTCACTTAGCATGATATTCTCCAACTCCATCCATTTACCTGCAAATGCTATAATTTTATGCTCTTCTAAGGCTGAGTAATATTTCATTGTATATATGTACCACACTTTATCCATTCATCTATTGAAAGGCATTTAGGCTGCTTCCACAGTTTAGCAATTGTGAATTGTGTTGCTATAAACATTGAAGTGACTGCGTTACTATAGTATGTGATTTTTAAGTCTTTAGGATATAGACCGAGGAGTGGGATAGCTAGGTCAAATGGTGATTCCATGTTTTCTAAGGTATCACCATACTGCTTTCCAGATTGGTTGCACCAATTTGCAGTGCCACCAGCAATGTATGAATGTGCCTTTTCCCCCACATCCTTGCCAACACTTATTGTTGCTTGTACTCTTGATAGCTGCCATTCTGACTAGAGTGAGATGAAATCTTAGTTTTGATTTGCATTTCTCTAATTGCTAGAGGTGTTGAACATTTTTTCATATATTTGTTCTGATCGATGTTTTTTTTTTAATTATGTTACAAGAAATTAGCTTTAAAACTACATGACTTTGGATATGTTTTGGAGTTTTTTTGTTAAAAATTTTTTTTGTAGTTGTAGATGGACAGAATGCCTTTATTTTATTTACTTTTATGTGGTGCTAAGGATTGAACCCAGTGCSTCTCACACACTAGGAAAGCATCCTGGCACTGAGCTACAGCCCCAGCCCAACTTTGGATATTTTAATTCATCTTTTGTCCTTCTCTATTTGTGAAAGATCTACTTTTAGAGACTGTTTATGTGGTTGAATAATTATTACATCAAGAGCTTAATTTTTACAGAACTGGCATTAAATTTGTGATTTTCTCCAGCTGCCTCTGAGCATGCTAATTTTTCCAGCTAAGTTATATGCTGCACCTAAGCTTTGCAGAGTCAGCCCAACCTGGCCTTACTACTTTGAGCTCCCATAGCACTTTGTTTCCTCCTGACTCTCACCCAGTACTCCAGTGTTCTGAGTATGGGAATGCAGGGCTGGTCTCTTCCAATTTGTGTGAATAGCTTTTCATCCTGAGCATTGTACAGATTAGATTCTTCATATATATTTGTAAAAAATCAAAAAAACAAAACCACAGTATTGATGAAACTTTGAAAATAGCCAGGAAAAAAAGGAAGGGGGGTGGGGATGTTGCTCGGTTGAATCCTGGGTTCAACCCCCGGTACAAAAACAGACAAACAAACAAACAAATAAATTTGTCCCAGTAGACACCATAAAACAGATTGGCCTCTCCAGAGTGGGTGGGCCTCATCCAAATCCACTGGAGGTCTGAATGAAACATAAGACTGCTCTGCCCAACTTTCCTGGAGCTTGGACATCAGTCTTGCCCTGCCTCTGGATTTCGACTGTTACTTGTCCCATACCTCTCCTGCTTCTCAAGCCTTCAGACTCAGACTAGAATATTGCCATTGACACTCCTGGGTCTCCAGCAGACAGATGGCAGGTCCTGGACTTCTCAGCATCCATTACAGCATGTGCCAATTCCTGGTAAAAGTTTCTGTCTTTATGTATAATCTTCTATGTTTTTTACTTTTTTAAAATATATTTTTAGTTATAGATGGACACAATACCTTTATTTTACTTTTATTGATTTTTATGTGTGCTGAGGATCAATTCCAGTGCCTTAGGTGAGGCAAGTGCTCCACCACCGAGCCACAATCCTAGCCCCCTTTTCCACTGAGCCACAACCCCAGCCCACTTCGTATGTATTTTAACAATAAAAAAAATGCAGTGAAAAATACCAGTATACATGGACTGTATGTGATTCTTTTTTCGAACACTTTCAGAATCACCCCTCTCTTGCTGAATTCTTCTTTCTTTAGTACCCTTCTTACACCCACTACAGACTACTCTCACCCACAACCCTTTATAGCAATATGTTTAGATGGCTTTAACTCTGAGTACAAAGCCCCTTGAGCCCAAAGATCCAGACATCTTTTTGTGGTATGTTAAGCTAGTGAGGTTTCTATGTGCTTAATGTCTGTAGAAGGGAGGAAGGAGAGAAGGAGGGTGAAACTGAGGACAGGAAGGCCTTTAAGACTAAACACTCACAGGCTTTTCACAATGTGAACAGTGAAGCTCCTACAGAGTGGTTGTAAGAGCTGGAGGAGGAGGACCTTTGAGGGACCCTGTGGGTGAGTGAGGAAGGTAATGGTGGCCATGGGAGGTGAATTGGCAACACAGGAAGAGCCAGCAAAGCAAGAAGGATGAATCCAGCCATCCTCAAAGAAGTTAACCTGTAGGGACAATTTTTTTTTGTTCATTTGTTTTAGGTGGACACAATGCTTTTTTTTTTTTTTTTTTAGTTGTAGTTGGACACAATACCTTTATTTATTTTTATGTGGTGCTGAGGATCAAACTCAGTGCCTTGCACGTTTGCACGTGCTAGGCGAGTGCTCTACCACTGAGCCATAAACCCAGCCCCAATGCCTTTTATTTATTTATTTTATGTAGTACTGCGGATTGAACCCAGTGCCTCACCCTCGCTAGGTGAGCACTCTACCCCTGAGCCACAACCCCAGCCCCTGTAGGGACAATTTTAATGATACTTGCAAAGGAATTTCAGAGAGCACAGTGTATTGGGTTGAGAGAGGACTTGGTTAAATCAAGATCTACTGAAAACCTGAAGTTTTGGTAAAATGGCTTCAGTGAAGGAAATAGCTCAATGAGAGTTGACTCCAATTCTCTCTCTTAGGTACATCTTGAATCAGGTCTTCCTCGAAAATCCTCAAGAACATGACCACCACCAGCAGCCACAGTATTTATCAAGCACTTTCTTTATCTCATTCATTCTCCCAACAACCCTGTGAGGTCTGTGGTACCATCTCCCTCATCTTATGAATGAAGACAGCCAAGCTTTAGGGTTGTTAAGCAGCATTCCCAGCCCTCACTTTCCTCCTCCATGGGCCACTTATGCCAGCCACTTTGCTAGAACCAACCAACATGCCAGAACATTTTAGAATAACATGCTAGAACCACAGGGTCATCAGACTGCTTTTTTTTTTTTTCAGACTGCTTTCTGAAAGTCTGAACACCATTGATTGAAATGGATTTCCCAGTGACTSACTGCCCACTGCCACTTGCTCAGCACCCAGAAGTTCCACCAATACCATCCTGCCATGTGGGAGTCACTGCTGCCTCTGACAATGCAAGTATGAGTTAATGATAAAAGAGGTTAAAATGAATGAAATAATAGATCAAATAGGGGGGATACAGTAGGAAGGGGCACAGAAAGAGAGAGAGAAATGCCTTCTGTTTAGGAAGCATAATATTCCCTAAGATGTCCTGAGAATCCATTTCAATCTTATAACCAACATACATACTTTCCACTTGGGCCCAGATGTTATAATGGAAGAGGAGGAAGACATGGAGAACAAGAACATTTTTTTTTAATTGGGAAAACATAAAACCATGGTAATTGTATAGTAGGGGCTATCAAAACAATTAAAATTCTAGGTATATTGGGTTCCCTAACTAGAGGGATTCTTGAGGTAGGATTCTATTGCCTCCAAACAAATGTCTTCTCTGTAGTGCCAGCTTAAGGGGGCCATTGTTGACCCTCCCAGGGCTCTTTCTCCCTGGCATGAAGGAGACCAGTCGCTTTCTGAGCCACTGGAAGCTGAAAACAAAATTCAGACAGCACGTTGTTTTGGTGTCTAAGGGCACATCCTCCTCCTTTGACTCCTCTGATAAGACTGAGGAGGTTTCTTCAGTGCCACTGTCCTGGCTTTGCATCTGCGAAGACAAAGAGGATGAGTAGAGACATACAGTCTCAGCAGCAATGGACTCAATATCTAGTCACTCATGAATATCTAATTTATTTTTTTACCAAAATTGGCCAACTGTTAATGGAGAGTTTCATTACTCATTAACCATCTCACTCACTCACACACACACACACACACACACACACTTGTTTGTATTATCATTAGTCCTTCTCTCTGCTCTCCCCTCTCTTGCCTGATTCAGTGTTCCTTGGCATGTTCCCCACCCCTCTCCCCCAGCTCCTTTCCTGGCTGTCCTGTTTCTCCCATTGTTCATCTGCTCAGACACTGGGGTCCACCTCTGCTTCACAGCAGGTACCATGACTCCATGTTGTCCAACCTGGCACCCGCTCCCTGACCCACCCCTTGCTCTGCACTGAGGCTGCTCTGTGCTCACCTCAACAATCTCATCGTCCTCAAGCTCAGGAGGCATTTCTGGGAACTGGTCCATGTCTCYGTTTTCTGGTGGGTCACACTTGGGCAAGTCCTCACAAGCTTCAGGTTCTTGATGACTGACCTGATCTATATGGGGAGAGGCACTGCTGCACGGCTGGAGATCCTCCTCCTGAGGAGAATCAGACAGTACAGGGTCATCATCTTGGTCATCCTTCTGAYTCTCCAGAAATGCCTTCAGATCTTTCATGAGCTCATCCAGGTCCCAGAGGGGCTGGTTTATGCTCTCCTGTGGGCTCTCGTCCATCCTCTGGGAGTCTTCACTTAGAGCCCCATTAGCTCCCGAGTCTTCACAGTGCCAGTCCAGATAGGCATCCAAGACCTCGAGGATGGCTTCTTCGCCAGGCTTCTCTGGGTTCTCCTGAATGGGATTTTGTCTCTCCACAGGTTTATTTACACTTTCGGTTCCCCATGCCCCTTGGACAGGAGGCAGCACGTGGCAGGAGGGACCCTGAGAAGTCAGCTCTTCACAGGGTATGATGTCCTCACAGTCAATGCTGTCCTCATGGGGGAGATAGCCTACAGAGAGGCTCCGGTTGGTTGAGGATTCCAAAACACAGTCCCCCATGTCAGGGCAGTTACTGCCCAAGGATGCGTCTTCCATGAAGTCCAAGGGCTCAAATGCTCCGTTTCCCTCAAAAATGGAAACTTCAAAAGAAAACAAATAGGTGATATTGGGAAGAGAGTCATGTACTTTAGCAAATTGTGTCCCCCCGCTTTTTTTTTTTTTTTTTCATTCACAACTATCCCTCTCAGGCAGAAGCACATCCTAGATTTGCACTCTCCAGTCAAGGGCAGAAGATGSAGTTCTTCCTCTTTAAAAACTTATTCTGTTGTATAATAACCATCTTCACTGACATCTCCATCTGGTATCTCTCATGCTTTGTCTTATTACTACAGTTAAAAGTACAGCCTATCATGAAAGATAGTTGTATAACATTTGAAAAATACAGGAAAATAGGAAGTTGAAATAAATACCCTTATCCCATCATCCAAGGGGAATGATACCATCTGGAAGAGTTTGGTGGATTTATTTATAATATTCTCTTTCTGTGTATCTATCTACTTATCTATCTATCTATCTATCTATCTGGATTTTACATTTATGAGCACATCCACATATATGTGGATGTCACATCAAAGAATGTAAGATTATTAAATTTTATGGCACAGCCTACATGAAACATGTACACATATGGCTATTCTCTAATTCTTAACCACTTTCTCATAATTATTTTTGGTGATCACACATTAATGACCATTAATTTAGGTGATCAATGGCCCTTAGATTATTAAGACCATTAACGATGGTCTTGTTAATCATAGTAAACTCCCTTATCCACACATTTCTGCCTCTTTTTACATAGTCCTATAGGTTGGATTCTTGGATCAAAGATTTCAAATATATTGAAGTTATGATAATTGATATTAAATTACTTTCTAGAAAGAATACAGCTATTTAAATACCCTTCCTTCCCTTATCTGATGGTATCATTAGTCCAGCATTTCCTGAGATGCACCAGCAAGTGATTGATTAGGGGGAGAGAATATGCACACAATTGCTTTCTCTTTTC